CTTGGTGCTGGGGGCCGAGGGCTGCGACTGGCCCTGGGCCCCTGAGGTAGGGCCAGGGGCCCCTGAGGACGAGGTCCCCGGGGCGGAGAACACCATCCAGTCCGGCAGCGCCATGCTGGTGTCGCTGTTGGCCCTGAGCAGCGCAGGGGGCACTGTCAGCCCTGCCCCTGGGGGTCCCCGTCGCCGGGCCGCATACTTCGGGGACTCCTGAAAGGGCACTGAGAGGCCAGTTGGTGGATCGGGGATGGATGGGGTGCAGAAAGAGGCAGGAGGGAGCCATTCGGGTAGGAGAGGCATGGGAAGGAAAGACAGAGATGAGAAAGAGCAGGGGCCTAGAATCCCACCACTCCTCCATCCCATCAGGCCCCCTACTCAAGCCTGGACCCCTCAACTGCACCAGGAACTGGTGGACAACTCCATGGTTGAACCCCAAGTTGCCCCAGCTCCCCCTCCTCACCCACATCCTGCTCTCGATGGTTCCGGATGAGCTCCCCTAGCTCGAAGTTTCCAGCGATCACGGCCACCTGGAGAAGGGGTCCGGGTGGCAGGAGAGGAAGGAAACACGGCAGCCCCCAGCCCATGACCCACACTCGCCTCCGCCGGACTGCACTCCCTCCCAGTGTTCCTTGCTGTCCGCCCTTGAGCCCAGACCTGGAAGGGTGTCTGTCCACTGTTATTCTTCACATCCTTGTTGGCCCCTCGATAGAGGAGGATCCTGGCGCAGGTCTCCTGAGGATGGGAGCCAGTAGCACAGGACACAGGAAAAATAACCAAAGGTCAGGGTGAGTGGATCCCGGCACGGGCAGCATACTAAGAGCTTCAGGAATGATCCAATCTCACCCGCATGGCCCCGAGCAGCAGCCCCACACCAGGGGCTCTGAACACTGCACCTCCACGGGTACCTGAGATGGGTGTGTGAGATCCATGCAGGGTTTCAAGGACTCAGTATGCCCCCCCAAATCAGCTATCTAATCATTTTTACATTGGCTCCGTGTTGAAATGGTAATAGTTTTAGTAAGTTGGGTTCAATAAAGCATGTGGCTAAAGTGAATGTCACCTGACACTTCCTCCTTAAACGTGGCCACCAGGACACTGAGGAGATTAAGGACATGGAGTGGATGTGTTCCGGGGTTGGGTCCTGTTGAAGTGCTGATCCGAAGCGGGGTTTGGGCAGCCTCCTGGCTTCTACCACTAGATGCCAGTAGCGGTCCCTTTCTCGGCCTGACAACCCGAGCGATCACCACACACGGCTAAGTGTCCCCTAGAGGGCAGGAGCCAGGGAGAGCCTCTCCAAGTCTGACCACAGGGGCCACGGCGCTGGCGCTTGAGAGCTCCCTCGCGGAGTGGCCGGCCGGGCCTGTGAGATGGAATGATTGTCCCTCTTTTACAGCCAGAGGAACTAGGGCTCCGGAAGGGCTCAGGGTCACACAGTGGGTGATGGCCGGCCCTCAGCTTCCGGCCCAGGTGCGTCTGACTCCGAGGTCTTTGATCTCAACCACAGCCTCTATCAGACCAGAAGGGAGGGGCACATCCTGGAGGACAGAGGGCCAGGACCGGACACGCGGTTTACACCCACATCAGTACCTCGGCAGTGACAATCCACGCTCTCCTTCGCATTCACTGGTGTCAACCTCACACCCTTCACCACTTTCACCTCTACTGCCTTTGCTGGATCCTGGGGCTGCAGCCCACAACCGCCTCCTGCCACAGTGCCTTTGGGCCTGCCGCTCCCCTGCCTGGAATCCTCTACTCCTCCATCTCTGCACAGCTTGCTTTCCTACTCCATTCAGCTTCTTGCTCAAATGCCACCTCTTTGAGAGGCCATCTCTGGCCATTCTAAGAATCCCCCAGTCTTGTCCCTTCCCATTTATTTTATGTGACCCTCTTGTATGTACTAGGCACTCTTCTAAGTCAGTATCAACTCATTTTCCATCCCTTGCCTCGGGGGTCTCTCCTCACTCAGGGTGAATGACACTGGAGCAGGATTCGGTCCCATGCCTCCACATCTGGGGTGATGCCTGGCCCCCTGCGATGCTGGATTAACAGTCAGCCGGGAGCAAGTGGCCCCCTTTCCTTGGCCTGGCCAAGCCTGCCAGTCTAGCAAGGGGCATCTGACAGCCCTTGCACTCAGATGCTTGGCCCCCAGGTCAGTTCCTCTCTGGCTCCCTCTGACGCTAAACTATGAGCTGTTCCTCATCTCCCCACTTCCACAAGTGTCCTCCACACGGCCGTCCGTTAACCACTGCCACAGGCACATTTGCAGACTGCCACACCCCATCCCAGGGGCCACAGGGCCCAAGCACCAGCTCACCCGCTTCCTCCAGCGCTGGCCAAACTGCACAGATGTCTGGAGTCTCAGTTAGGGCTCCGGCTCCCTCCACCGCCCCGAGAAGCTGTTTACTACAAACTAGCGCTTATCTCACGGGATTGCAATTATTTGTTTACACGTCTGCCTCCCTGCCAGACTGCCAGCTTCCCCCTCCCCGGGGGCGCACGCTGCCTCCCAGCCGGCTCGCACCGCTGCACCTCGCCCAGGCACACAGTAGGTGCTCAAACAATGTGCACGGGAAGGGTGAGGATGGAGGCTGTGGAGCTGCCAGCCAAACTTCATTTGTTCAAACCGATTCACTTATTCATGCATTCGCGGAGTCCCCCGACTGCTGGAACAGGCAGAAACCTGTTGGACACTGAGCCAGGCAGCTGCACCATCCCAGTGGAAATCAAGACAGCTGGCCCTTCTTTCCTCCCTCCTTTCCCTCCTTCCTTCCTTCCTTCCTTCGCGATGCAGCCCAGTTGAGCAGACTCAGCCACACCAGCCCTGAATGCTCACGCAGGCTGCCCAGGGCCAGCACCAAGAGAGCGAGTAACAAGTAAGTGTAGGCCAGGGCCTGTGTCCCCCTGGGTGGGGGAGACAAAGGGAGCTCAGCGGGTGCCACCGGACGCCCCAGGGGGAACAGGCTGCTCCTCTGGCCCACCGTGCCCGTGTGATATTTCCTGCTCCGATGAATGGCGCCCCTCCTGCCTGACACTGCAGGGACCGTCATGATCACCACCGTGATCATGGCGGCTTCCTTCTGGGGGGGACCTTGCTCCACGACCACCACTCATCCTTTTGGATGGCTGACGGGCGCTGTCTCCAGGAGAGCTGGGGAGGGGGCTCCTAGTCAGGGAACAGGAGCCTCATGGCCGCGGGGGGGTGGGGACGACGCGCTGGCCCCTGCTGCTTCGGTTTGACAAACACTGAGTCCTCCCTCGGCGCTGAGCACCCTGCTCGCTGCCACACGGCAGCATGTGGCCACCTGCCAAGTCCCCAGCACTGCAAGTTCTCATGAGGCAGAAGGGCTGAGGCTGTTCTGGAAGACTTCCTGGAGGGAGGGGGCCAGCGGGCCAGCGGCATCATGCTAGGCCCTGTCCCTGCCCCCACATGCCCGCCACAGCCCCACAAGGGCAGAAGCAGCAAGAGGCTGGCAGATGGCTGAGGGCCCGAGGGGGCGCTGCCCAGGATCACCTGGAACTCGCAAAGTTGTCCTAGCTCTGCGAGACTTCCTGTCCACTCATCCTGCTGGCTCTCTAGGGGCCTGCTGGGTGGGGACTGTCCACCCAGCCCCCAACTGACAAGGGGAGGACACATCCTCTCACCTGTGGACCCTGCCGTGGTGGTGTGCAGACTTCACACTGACTGGACTGGCAAACGGGGGCTCCCGAGCCCCTCCACGGCCTGCAGTGGTCCTCGTCCTGGCCCTCTGGTCTTTGCACAGGCTGCGCCCTGGGGCTGGAGCACCTTCTTCCCCTCTGCCCAGCCCACTACTCCCCGCCCTAACAAGGGTAGCATCCTCCAGGATGCCAGCTCCACACAAGCCCAGCCCAGACACGGACCTGAGGGGACCTGGACACCCCTGATGCCGCTCTGAGCTCTCTGGATTATAAGAGCTCTGAGTGCAAGGGCTGTCAGATGCCCCTTGCTAGACTGTGAGCTCGGCACTGTGCCTGGCTGCCCGCTCTGGGCCTGACATGGGAAGGTGCTCGGTGCATATTTAGTGGGTGGAGGGAGGGAGGGATGGGTGGGTGGAGAGATGGACAGACAGATGGATAGGTGGACGGATGGGTGGACGGACGGGTGGGTGAATGAGGAATGGAAACAGGAGCAGAGGACGCAGTGGCTGGAGGCTGGCACCAGGGAGGCACGTGGGTAGACCGGTGGGTGGGAACGGTGGGTGCTCCTGGGGCAGACCTTGTTGTAGAGGGCACAGACGTGCAGGGCCGTGTTCCCCGAGGCGTTCTGGGCTCCCGGCTCTGCCCCGTAGAAGAGCAGATGCTCCAGATGCTGAGAGTGACCCCTCTGACAGGCCTGGGGGAACAGGGAGCGGAGGCGGGGTCAGTCCTGGTGGCCCCTCCCCTCTGAGGCAGGAACCCTGGCACGTGCCCCTCTTCCCCTTCCCACTCCTCTGCTGGTCAGGGGTAAGGCTGTCAGTTCCACAAGTCTGAATGCTCCTGTTAAAGTGGGGTGTCGGTCTGGCCCTTCCGGGGGTGCTGCCCGGGCTCCTAACCCACCTTCGCCTCTGGGGAACCCTGCTCTTCTCACCCCGCCTTCTACAGGGACCCAGCATCGGGAGCCCGGCCCAGTCACCGAGGCCCTCGGCCGAGTCCGGAGCACCTGGTGAATCTCCTGCCAGCCGTTCTCATCTGCGACGCCCAGCTGGGCCCTGTTGTACAGAAGCAGCTCACAGCAGCGGGGGTCTCCCCCTACCATAGCGGTGTGGAACAGGGGGGTGAGCCCACGGCGGTCCTTGTAGTTTGGGGAGCCCCCGAGGTCCAGGAGTGCCTAGGGAGGGGGGCCGGGCAGAGGACAGTCACAAGAGCACTGGCTCACCCAGAGGGGCTGCTGGGGAGCGGGGTCCTGGTGATCTACGATGCCCCTTTGCCACCCTGAGCCAAGCCCTTCCCTGCTCTGGGCCTCTCCCCTCCCTCGAGAACAAGGGGGACAGGGGAGATGCCACGAGAGGACCCTGACACTGATACCCTGCCCTCCTCCCCTCATGGTGGGCAGCCATGGCAGGGCCAGCAGGGACATCAGTGGCCACAGCGCCCCTTCCCCGGTCCACAGGAGATTTGTTGGGGGAAAATGAGACAGTGGTCTCATCGCTAAGGAGCAGGTATGTGACCCTGCCTCAAAGAGGTCCCCTGGCCAAGCCCAGAATCTCAAAGGTGGGGCACAGAGGGCACCTGAGATCGGGCAGCTTTGGGGTAAGGCAGGCCCTGCACCAGCTCCCTGGGAGTGGGGGCAGGGGCAGGGAGTGGCCCGTCTGGTGGGCAGCTCTGGGCACACAGGGCAGGTGTGCTGTTTTAACATGAGAGGGCTGACAGCAGCCTAAGACCATCTCAGACCCGCACCACCACATGGGAGCTGGTCTCCAGCAGCATGGTCCAACCTGGTGGCCACACAGGGCAGTGAGCCCCAGGAGCTGAAATTTTAATTTAATTTAATCTTAATTAATTGAAATTTAAATGGTCTCATGTGATCAGTAGCTAATGGATCAGCCGTGTGTGTGAGGGTGGAGCTTCAGGGTGAGTATGCATCAGGGATATGTGAACAAGGTCTGTTAGACAGGCATGGTGGCAAATGCTTGTGATCCCAGCCCTCTGAGAGGCTGAGGCAGGAGGATCCAGTCCAGGCAACTTAGTGAGACACTGTCTCAAAAGAATAAAGAAAAAGGGCTGGAGTTGCAGCTCAGTGTGAAGGCCCCGGGTTCAGTCGCCAGTGTTGGGGAGGCGGGGAGTCCTGCAGTTTGTGAGGGCTCGGGCTGGGAAAGGACATTTCGGTGCAGTGTGTGAGCAAGGGGCTGTGTTTGTCCTGAGAGAAGGGGGGAGCACTGGTTAGAAAGGGTGGCCGAGGGGTGCTTTCAGAGTGGGGGTGCAGGAGGGAGCACTGTCTGGGGACTGATGAGGAGACAGAGCAGGGTGGGCACTGCGTGGGGTCAGAGAGGAGCCGTTTGGGCCTCCGGAGGAAGAGGAGGGTGCTGGATGCACTGCTGTGTGTCCTGCTCCTGTGGACAGTGACAACGGCTCAGTGTGAGGGATAAAAAGGGACCCCCGGTGCTGGGGATGGAACCCAGGGTCTGTGCACCAAGCTACAACCCAACCTTTTTATTTTTTATTTTGAGACAGGGTCTTGCTGAGTCTCTAAATTGCCCAGGCTGGGCTCAGGCTTGTGAGCCACCTGTCTCAGCCTCCCAGAGGGATGACATTAAAGGCCTGCAGCACCACACCCAGTTGTTTTTTGTTTTTTTTTCTTCAAATCAGAAATTAAAGAAGTGGGGTTTCAGATAGAGCAAAGAAAAAAGCAGAAGGGACACAGGATGGGGAGGGAGGTCCGGCTCACCGTGAGGGCCAGGCAGTGTCGGGCACACGCAGCCTTGTGTAGTGCTGTCATGCCATCCCGGGCCCGGAAGTCAATGTGGGCCCCGCCCAGGCACAGAGTTCGAATCACCTCTACAGAGCCTTCGGTCTGGGCCGCTAGGGTCAAGGGGGTCTCTGAGGGGCGAGAAAGGCTGGTCACCTGCAGGCCTGTGACCTGCCCACTTCCCGGCTGCCACTCCTTGGTCCCCTCAGCTCAACACCCACAGCCTGAGCCATGGCCTCCTCTCAGAAGGGTGACAAACTGGGACTGGCACTGGCAAACACTGATCTGGGTGCGGACATCCCGCCCCGGCCTCTACCTCCCGAATCCGAGTCATGGTAGTTGGGGTCCAGCCCCTTGTCCAGCAGCCTCGCCACCTTGTCAGACGTTCCGAGCTGCACATACTCCAGGAACTTCTTCAACCCCGTCTGGGGAGCCACGCAGACAGAGAGAGGAGCGGGAAGGGGGAGAGAGAGGGAGAGAGAGAGAGGAGAAGATGGGCAGTCAGGGCCCCAAAGCAGTGGTCTGCAACAGCGCTGCCCAGTGTAAACACACAGCCAGCCAGACAGCACAGGAAAGTTTCTTTTTTTTTTCCATCAGGGTCTCACTATGTAGCCCAGGCTGGCTTCTAACATACTGCAACCCTCCTGCCTCAGCCTCCCAAGGGCTGGGATCACAGTTGTGTGCCATCATACCCAGCCTACAGCACGGGAAAGTTTCTAGTAGCAGCCTCCAAAAAAAAAGGACAAGAAAAGCCATCATCAAGACGGTGCCATTCATTTTTATGGTAAATGTTCTCAGGTGAATAGATCCATGTTACTGTCCCAACAGGTGAGTCAGATGAAAACCATTAGTAAGGCATTTTACTGCTCTTGCACTAAATCTTGGCAACTCCCTGTGTACATAACCCTCAGCAGCACACATGGTTAGAGGAGTAAGAACCTCTCAAGGAGAGGAAAGAACCACATGCATGGTGTGCAGGACAGACATGACAGGTGGGATTGGGGTTATTTTCTTTCTGAGGGTCAGGCTGCCAGCCGCAGCAGCACCGTCCTAGCTCTTAGGTGACCAGGGGAGACACAGGGATGTGCTGGACTAGAGCAGAGGTCTCCGGAGAATCAGAAGGGCTGGAGCAGGGGCTGACCCCGGAGCTGGGAGGTGTGGGCTAGGGTCTGGGGGCTGCAGGGCATCTGTGAAATGGTCCCCAGGCAGAGCACCGGGCCCAGGAGGGGCAGGAAAGGGGTCCTGAGTGGTGTGGGGGTATCAGGCAAAGAAAGGGGGAGTCCACAGAGCCAGGGAGAACTGGGCTGAAAGATGAGGGGCCAGAGACGGAAGCAGGAATCAGCTGCAGTGGGATAAAAGGGGAACCCCGATTATGATGTAGCACCCCAAGTCAAGCAGGGGAAACTGACATGGCCACAGAGGGGTGGCCCTGTGGGGAGGAGTTCCAGGAGGCGGAGCCCTCAGGGGTCATAGTCAGCAGGGTTCTCTCACCTTTGTGTGCAACTTGGCCAGCTGCTTCTCGTCCAGATTGGTCTGTTTGTAAACTCGGGTCTTGTATCGGAACTGAGGCAGAGGATGGGTGGGGGGAGACAGGCAAGGGAGGGTCAGGGGCTGCGGAGGTCGGGGCTGACCCTGAGTCCCCTAGGGTGGGTGGGGGGAACTTTGCTAAGGAGTAGGTGTGTGACCCTGCCTCAAAGAGGTCGCCTCTGGAGCCTGCAGGGAACATTCTAGAACACCTCTGTACCCACCAGTCCTTCCCCAAAATGGACCAGGAGAGCCTTGGCGGCGGAAGGGACCAGCCAAGGCCACTCAGCTGGTCAGAGAGAGACAATGGCGACCTTAATTCAGGCCCTGATTCGGGGTTTCCTGGTTCGGGTCTCGGCTGGGACAGTCACGGAGTCGGGGTTACATGTGTTCCGGAGCCTTGCCCACCCTTGCAGGCGGCACAGGCTGGGGAGGCCATGGACTCACCTCCAGGTAGGGGACCCCCTTCTCGAAGGACTGGGGGTACTCCCGCAGCAGCCGCTCCTCCTCCAGGAAGTTGGCGTCGCGGCCCGAGGTGGCTGGCTGGAAGAGGCCGTAGTTGAGCACGTCCTGCAGGCTCTCGCTCAGGGCGCACAGCACCTGCTGCTTGGCCGTCCAGATGGTGGCATCGGGGTTGAAGCGCAGGCATTTCTGTCAGGGGAGCGGACAGCAGGGCCAGGGTGGGTCGGGGTCCCGCTGAGCGGGGGCGGAGGTTAACTGGGGGGCCAGGAGGAGAAGGGGTGCACTCGGGGCTGGAAATGGGGCCTTCCAGGGAGGACACCCCTGCTCACAGTCGCCCTTACTCACTGTCTGATGCAGGTCTGGGATGCCAATCCTGAAGACCATCATGCTGAAGTGGGCGTCGTCAGGGACAGACATGGAGCGGCCCTGGAGGCCTCGGGCTGAGGCCAGGTTACCAGGTGCCCCGCTGCCCCGGCCCCGGGACCCCCGGAGGCCTCGCCCTGGTCCGTCTGGGGAGCTGTCGGACTCTGAGCCCCCCTCCGGACACTCGCTGGCACTGTGGTGTTCCTCGTCCTCGCTTGTCGCGGGGCTGTGGGTCATTGTGGGGCCACGGGGCGGTGGGGGACGGCAGCATCACAGGCGGCTGCAGGGGCCAAGGGCGACCGTCAGGCTGGGAGTCAGGGGAGCCCTGGGCCAACTGCTCTGGGCAGGCTGGAAGGTGGGTCGAGGACCCTCAGACCTGCACAGGCCTCCGGCTGCACTGGCATCCATGCCCACATCCCCAATGCTCCCGGCCCCTGTCTCTTTCCCTGCCCTTGGCCCTGCATGCAGCCCCCACCCCCCTGCGCCCCACTTTGCTCCTGACCCAACGTGGCCGTGTCCCAGAAACCGCACAATCACCGTGGGAGCTACTGGCCCACTTTGTCAGGCCACAGGAAAATGCAGCTAAAATTAGCTAAGGACAGACAGGTGGGCCTGGTGACCGGCATCCTGCCCTCCTGGCCCTGGCCTGGCCCCTCAGCCCGGGGGAGGCGAGACTGGGATGTAGTAAGGAGACGTAGGTGTGCGGAGCCTCGGGCGGCAGGAAGTGCCCGAGAGCCTGCGGAGCCGGTGACTTCACTGAAGTGTGGCTGAAGAACCGGCCGTCTCAGGGGAGCAGGGCCACTGGGGTATGGGTGGCACGGGACAGAACATCTTGCTCGGGTGTCCCTGAGGGAGCAGGAGAGGAGGCCCTGGGAGGACTGGGGGGCACCCGGAGCGGGAGAGCGGTCCTGGGAGCTGTGTCCAAGTGACAGTGGCCTGTCCCCCTGGGTAGGCGTGGAGACTGCGGGTGGCCTGTGCGTGGCTCCAGGCCTGGCTGAAGGGTGGGACTGGCACTGCTGGGGGGCACTGCAGGTGAGGAAGGTGACTGGGGCGGGAGCTCAGACTGAGACAGGATCTGGGGGACTAGGATGTAGGGTGACCTCTGAATCTCCACTGTTCTCCCCTACAGGTGTTCGTGACAGTGGGTCCCTTCCCAGTTGGGTCTGTCTCCCCCTAACTCCCCTACTCCCACCCCAGAACCGGAAACCAGAATGCCTGGTCTGGTCCCTCCCCCCCACACCAGGCCGGGCTCCTGCACCGTTGCCATGGAGATGGGAAGCAGTGGAGGGTACTGCTGACTTTGGGGGAGTGGGGATGGGCTGGGGGTTGGGGACGGGAAGACAAAATGTGTGTGGAAGGAGGAGAGTTCCAAGAACTGTGGG